TTGGGCCATTCCCATGGAGTGAGCTGGTTTCTTTCATTGTGATTTTGATTTGCATTTCCCTGATAATAAGTGATGTTGAACATTTTTTCATATGCCTGTTGGCCATTTGCATTTCTATTTTGGAAAAGTGTTATTTTTTTTTTTTAAAGATTTTTTTTATAGAGGCATGTTTTATTTATTTATTTATTTGTTTGTTTGCTTGTTCGTTTATACATGCACTGGGTACAGTCAGAAGCGCGGGAGGGTGAGAGAATTCACCAGAGCCAGAGCGGGGAGCAGAGCAGGCAGAAGGACCGAAGTACACTGCTGAGGGGAGCAGCAGGCGGCAGGAGAGGTCTGCGTGCCATGTGGGACCCTCCTCTGGTGGCCGGGGAGCAGCCGGGGATTGAACTGGCGCTGCAGAGGCCGCGGGCAGCTTCGCAACCCAGCGCTCAACCGCTGCGCCACCGGGGAGGCCCGGAGAAGTGTTATTTTTAGTTCTGCTGCCCATTTTTTGATTGGGTTACATGCTTTGTTTTTGTTGAGTTGTGTCAGCTCTTTGAAGATCTTTGATACCAAGATATATGGTGCGCAAATATTTTCTCCCATTCAGTAGGGAGTCTCTTTGTTTTGGTTGCTGTCTCTTTTGCTATGAAGAAGCTTTTTAGTTTTATAAAGTCCCAGCTGTTTTTCTTCTCCTTTGTTTGCCTTGCTTGTAGAGATGAGTCCTCAAAGATGTTTCTGAGATTTATGTCAGGCAGTGTTTTGCCTCTTTCTTTCTTCTATATATTTTTCCATAGATTTTTTAGGGTTCTTTCTATTATCATATCATCTATTTTGATACCTTTTATGTCTTTCTCTTGCCTAATTGCTTTAGTTAGGCCTTCTAGTATTATGCTGAAAAACAGCGAGAGTGGATATTCTTGTTTTATTTCAGATCTAACTGGAAAGGCTTTCAGTTTTTCACCATTGAGAATGATGTTAGCTGTAGGCCCAGGTGCCTTTAAAAGAAAGATAAGAAGATAAATCCCTTCTTTCTATGAGCAACATGATATGCACATGCTAAATGCTACACACAGTATCATTCTTTTTTTTCTTCAGAGTTTCATGGTTGCATTAACACAGTAAATGTGCATACAAAAGGTCTATTTATTTTCTCTGCTGTGCAGCCTGACACTGGTATTGGTGATTGTGATGGCCAGGTGAGCTGTTCTTTCCCTTATGGCTTTGTAGTTCTTGGAGATATTGTGAGCAATCTCAACACAGCAACATTTGTTGTACATCAGCAGCACTCCCAGCTCCTAGACATTGTGGATCAGGAACTTCCAGAAATCACTGGGCAGTATGTACCTTGTTCACTTGCTCCCATAACCAATGTTGGGTCTACAGATCTGGCATGGCCTGCTGTCAATGCCTCTAGGTTTCTGCCAGTTATGCTTAATTTTGACATACTGGTTTGAATGCTATTGGATGGGTCCTCGGTTTGATCATCTCAAGTGTCACATGGGGTTTGAGGGGAAGAACACTGCCACCTCCATAGGGGAGGTGGAGGAAGAGATCAGTAACATTTGTTTGACTAATTTTAAAATTTTTAAGGGGTTTCTTCTGAGGGATATGCCATTTCCATGGTTGGTAGGAAACTATTCATGTACTAATTGTATTTAATTTCTAATTACTGGATATAAAGTTTTTATAAATATCTGCTTATACTTCTGAATGCCAACTTCTAAACCCCTTTGTTTCCTGACCATCAAGAATTGGAACTGAGGGCCTCCCTGGTGGTGCAAGGGGTTAAAAAGCAACCTATGAAGCCACTGCAACACGAGTTCAATCCCTGGCCAAGGACCTCTCCTTGGCCTCTCCTGACTTGTATGGTGCTCAGACCTCTCCTGACTTGCCTGCTGCTCCCCTCAGGAGTATATTTCAGTCAATCTACCTGTTCTGTTCCCCACTATGTCTCTAGTGAATCCTCTCACCACCCACACCTCTGGCCTGTGGTTCAGTTCTTATATGCATAAATACATAAATAAAAAAAAAAATTGGAACTGAAAAGAAAACCGAACATCTAAGCTGTGGGTTTGAGAAATTATCTTAATTATGAAAGTGGCACTATATAATTTTAAAGTCAGAAGAGATATGTAGATGTCATATTTGCTAGTCCTGAATCTTTAGTTTTGAGTAATATTTCATTCAGACACTTGAGTACATGGGTGTACTCCACCATCTATCAGCTCTCTCTGGAGGAACTTCCTTCTTTAGAAAAAGAGATAGTCAAAGAAGCTTGGGTGGTGATGAGGTTTCTCTAAGAGAGCATCTCCCAATAGAAATCCTTCATTTCCCCAGCCTTCATGAAAGAAATCAGTGAAATGTACCTAAATATCTGGGTCTCTTTATCAGTGGTTTTTACTTATATGCTTCAGAACTTTGGGTTTCTCAGACATACTTCTGAGTTTCACAAAAGTTTAACTCAAATTTCATTCCTTTAATTAGACTTTTATATTGCCAAAAAAAAAGATATAATGCCAAATTTTAACATACCTCAAACTGCTAAAAGTTAATATGAGGTTAAATCACGTCAGTGTAGATCTCAGAATTAATCTCTGCCTATTATTTTTGTAATTAAAGCACATGCCCAAGATTTCAAGGTGAATCATTTAAAACACCCATATTTTCTACATAGTATACAACCAAAACAGAAGAATAAGAAATCAACCATCTTGAGGATGCTTTAACTGCTACTGTTGTCTATAACATACAACTTCAAAATTTTTTTTTTAATTTTTTTCTAGAGGCATGTTTATTTATTTATGTGTTTGTTTGTTTTTGTTTATACAAGCACTGGGTACAGTCAGAAGCGCGGGAGGGTGAGAGAATTCACCAGAGCCAGAGCAGGGAGCAGAGCAGGCAGAAGGACCGAAGTGCACTGCTGAGGGGAGCAGCGGGTGGCAGGAGAGGTCTGCGCGCCATGTGGGACCCTCCTCCGGTGGCCGGGGAGCAGCCGGGAATCCAACCGGCACCGCAGAGGCCGCGGGCAGCCTCGCAACCCAGCGCTCAACAGCTGCGCCACCGGGGAGGCCCTCAAAATTTTTTTAACATAAGATAGCAGAGTCAAGTTCAGTGGTCAGGGGTGAACCAAGGCATGCTAGCCAGACTTGTTGTTATTGGTCTTATCTGTATTTTGCCATATAGATTCCCTTGGTTTCTCCCTGATTCCTGAGCTTGGTTCTCCAGACTGCCTATTGGTTGTTTTACCCAATCAGTCCAATAAATTCCTTTTTCAGCTAAAAACAAAATAACCACCCCTCTCCCCTTAAGACAACAAAACAGCCTCATTATTTGCCTTTTTATTTACCTATAAAGTTAATGTTTTAAAAAACTGAACTTATGTTTAGTTAAAAAAAAATTTAAGTTTCCATCTATTTTATATGTTGGGATTCTGAGACAGATGTTTGAAAATACTTTTTATATTTTAATTTGAAAATCACAGAGAATCACCTCACTTATTTCTGTTGTAGCTTCCCTTCTACTATTTCTGAGCAAATTTAACCACGGCTCCGTCTAAAATCTTAAAAATTTTTCTTATCTAATAGGAAATCCAATAAGGTAAAGTTCAAATTATTTGCACGACTACAAGACCCCTCATGATTTAACGCATGATAGCAGGTGCTCAGTATATGTCGAACGATCCAAAAAAACCCTGGAGAATGTAACAACTAACCTTGTTGCCTTGAGTTTTCGACAGTAAAAGTAACCATTATATGGCGCTTTCACATAATGACCTCACATACAGTGCTTTCCTCACACATCACCTGATTTATGTACCGTTACTCCAAATAAAAAGAAAAGCTTCTTTAGAAAGAGGTGCATATAAACTATTGCCTCAAAAGGTTGCAAAGTTTGGAAAGGTTTTCCTGAAGAAATAGGTAAGGGGGGTGGGGAACCAAGGATCTTAAAGGTTTACAACTAAAAGCCTCCTCACGGGGCTGTCAGGGAGGAGGTGATGGTGCCTCTTTGCAGTAAGTGGCCACCGCATGGAGAGAGGTGACACAATGGAATATTACTCAGCAATCAAAAAAGATAAACTCAGGAAGTTTGCAGCAAAACATGGATGGCGCTGGAAGGGATCATGCGCAGCGAAATAAGCCAGAAAGAAAAAGAAAAATACCGGATGGTCTCACTCATAGCAGGAATTTAGAAAACCTAAATAAGGGACCAGGAAAAAGACTAATTATAATAAAGGAAAAATCAAAATCAGCAAGCAACTATAAACCAGAGACACACTACGGGGAGGGGGGGAGGAGGGATTAGGGTCAAAACAAGGGGGGGTGGGAATTTTATGGGGACTATAACCAAGATGAAAATGCATACATTGTGCAAAAATGAAAAATGATGTAAAAAATACATACAATGAAAAAAATAAACGTTTAAATACCTGGGACTTGTTTTGATAAGACAAGCCAGGACTTAAACACAAAAGCGCTGCCCGAGTTTACACAGTCCACGCAAATCTAGGGTTTGGTCTCTAACTCACTCCTCTCAGGACAGCGACCTCAGGGGCGTCCTCAACACCATGAATGACACCGGAGCCCCAGGCCTGGGAGCGAGAGGGGTTGCAGTTCTGTCATGGTGGTGGAAGTTCTGGGGTGGTGAAACTATTTATTTTAAGCCTTCGTTTTCCTCTTACCCAAGCTGATAACACCTCCCGTATTCCACCCCTACAGTCTCACGACGAAATGATTAACTACCTCTCTTCGCCACGTCTCTCACCCCGCGCGGGCCACTCAGCCTGCCCGCTGGGCTCTCCCTCCGGCTCGCTCGGCGGGAAGCCGCGGGCCCTCCGTGCGCATGCGCCACCCTTCCCCGGGGCTCTCGCGCACCCGCGCGGCGCCGCTCCGGCGTCCCCACTACGCGCCCGGGGAGGGGACGCGCGCGCGAGCCCCGGCGGCCCCGCCCCCGGCGGCGCGCGCCTCCAACCTCACACCCCGGCGACCGCCGGGCGGGGGACGCGGGCGAGGCCGGCCATGGAGGCCCTGCGGAGGGCCCACGAGGCCGCGCTCCGGCTGGTGCTGTGCGGACCCTGGGCCTCGGGCGCCGCCTCCCGCCCGAAGCCCCGCGCCTCGGAGGTGCTGACGCAGCACCTGCTGCAGCGGCGCCTGCCGCACTGGACCTCCTTCTGCGTGCCCTACAGCGCCGTCCACAACGACCAGTTCGGCCTCTCGCACTTCAACTGGCCGGTGCAGGGCGCCAACTACCACGTCCTGCGCACCGGCTGCTTCCCCTTCATCAAGTACCACTGCTCCAAGGCCCCCTGGCAGGACCTGGCCGGGCAGGACCGTTTCTTCACTGCGCTCAAGGTCGTCAACCTCGGTGAGTGGCCCGGGCCCGTGAAGCACTACCTGCCGACGACGGCCCCACAGTTTGCAAAGCACGTTGACAAACGTTCTCGCTCGAAGTTGGGACCCCGGCGCAGGGTGAGACCGAGGCGGCGCGGGGGATGCCCTGCACCGGCCCCTCGCAGGCTTGCCCAGGTGCAGTCGCTCGCCCGCCACGCCGCGCGCCTGCAGTCGGGTCCCCGCACGTTGCCCGCATTCCCCGGGCACACTGCAGCGGTCTAGGACAGGCCTTGACTCCGGGCTTTTGTCCTCCCCGCCCAGCAGGTGCCTGTCATGGCGAGGTTGTTACTACTGAATGCCCCCCACCTCCCGCCCCTGAAAAAAAAAGTGGGGATCACCCTGCATCACTCCTGGGGATGAGGCATTCATTCTATCCTACTGAGGGGACCCTACCCTGGTCCTGAAAATGATGGTATAAGGAAACGTCCCCACTGGAAAGCGTCCCGATTCGTTGCCACGAACCTTACTTGCGGGTGTGCGTTCGTACTACCAAAACTAAAACTACTTTTTTTAAAGTTTCTTTGTTTTCTTTACATGAAATCTTAGCAAGTTTATTTTACTAAGAGCACTAGAGTTTTTCACCAGTGACACTGGCCTTCTTGGGTGCTAGGCCTAAAAGAGATATGCCGCTTTAATATTTATATAGAAATATTTGTATTTAATATTTCATGGGAATATTCTAATTCTCAGAGTATTTACACTTGCTGGATGTTTTTCTATTAGTTAATGACAAAAGGAGCATGAACATTATATAGGTATATCTTTTATAGGCCAGTGAAAAATAAAGAGGCCTCAAGATATTTTGAACCTATTAGCTGATACCAAATTATTCCAGATTTCAGTAATTCCGTATCCAGACGTAAACCACATTACCCAACCAGTTTTTAAAATTCCAGAATGAAAGCTAAACCCTTGGGTAGCTGTGCTAATATTATATAATTTGATAGCTCATTAAATTTAAACATGGTTTGTATATTTTTGCTTATAATGGCACATGTGGCAGTCATGGGATTGTTGAGCCATTGCTCTACTGGGACTGTCATGGGTTCAGTCCAGTAGAATTATTTAGCAATATGTGATTCTTAAAAAAAATATGTCTTATTTGGCATGGCCACTAGTTTTGAGGTTGATGCAAAGTTAGAGCCTGAGTGACTTCAAAAATACAGTGGAAAATTATTTGGAAACACTGCAGTGATGATTAGATTCAAGAAGAATAAGTTTATTTTAGCATTTTTAGAATAAGAAGTAATTCTTTCCAACAGTAAAGAGAAATAGGTTAGGAAAAGTATAACCAGAGGGTTATAAGTAAACTCTGAGCAGTATACCTTTTTTAAAAATGTTCTTTACCATTTAAAATCTAACACTTTAAGAATACCCTAATAATTAGGGTATTTGCCACGTATAAAGAAATCCAAAGAAAAGTAGATACAAAGAATATCTTCCCATTGAAAAGTAAAACTTCTTGAGGAAGAAAACAGTTCACAGTGTGGAAAAGATGACTTTAGGAGTGATTCTGTAGTCTTTATGGGCTTGGAAATTCTGAAAATCCTGCCTAAATGGAAATTAGAATTTTAAGTTAAACAAAAAGGAAAACTACTACATGCTGTAATGCAAATTAGCTTATACTGATTAAGGAAATTTTTTTTTTTTGGTGAATTTTTAAGGAGCAGGATATTCACCGTGGTAAGGTTTATTTTGTATTTTTGTCTGAAGGTAGGGAATGTGAATTCTATAACAGGGCTCTTTCAGTTTTGTGATGTACATCAATTGCCTCCATAGTTCATCAAGTACATACTCTTCTAATAAAAGTACTACTTAGGATTTTATTTCTATTTTCCCCTTCCAAATTAGTAATTTTTTTTTCATTTTGTAAATAAAAAAGATTTCTCTTTTACCCATTTGTTCCCTTTCTCCTCTGCCTTCCCTTCAGCGGAAGCTGACATTTTACTGATGGTTTATCAGAGTGGGTATCCTGCTGGGAAGTAGATTGAGATTTAAGAAAAGCAACTTACCATTGGAATGAATGGGTAATCGGAGACTTGCTATGAAGTTCTAATTTTTTTAAAGTGCTTAATTTGACAGTGGTTTACCTACTGTTCAGCTGACTCAAAATGAATTATTATGCAAAGAACTGACTTTTACGTTCATTTTGATGTTATATGTTTCAGACTGCCTGGAAAAACTTCATTTTTTTCATGGAATCATATAGGCTTTAAATACTATGTTACAGATAAAGATAATTTTGATCTTTTTAATTGTAAATTATGTAACTGGCAAATCTTCTCATTTAGTGTATTGGCCTGACTGCATTAAACAGACTATAAAAAAAAAAATGACAGTTTCACCTCTTATCAAACAGTATAACTGATGATGATTTTCTAGTTGTTTCTCAGCAACAGATAATGTAGTAGTTTTAAACTAGTAATCTTTGATTAGACCTCCATTTTAACTGAAAAATATACTTAATTTTTAAAAAGTGTCAGTATTTTACTGAAATCTGATAAGTATTATAAAACAAACAAAATTTTCAATGTCACCAGCATTCCTTAAGTTTACATATCCTTAGCTTTGCTTTAAAAGGCATTATTTACTCTCATTATATTTACAAAATCAGTAATTATTTCTAATGCCTATTTTATCTTGCTGAACTTTCAAAGTTGATACCCTATTTTAATTTTATTTGATTTGCTCCCTCTACTTCTCCACTCACTTCTGCCCGTTTTGTTCTCTTGTCCACTCCCATACTTATGCCCTACTTGCCTTCCTATTTTTAATTTTTTGGTTAAATGATTCATAAATAGCTTTGTGGTTCTTGTATTTGTAGGCTTTGTGTGAGTCCCTCCAGGCATTTAGAGATTCTTTTGGGCATTACCAAAGCAAAGAAGGCAACCCTGTGATAGTGACAAGCTGTGACCCAGTATGTTCCTAAAAATAGAGAAGTGCCAACCTGAAGCAGCTAGTGATGCTCCTTCTAATTAATTTTGGGCATCACAGTGGCCAGAATAAGCATAAAGAAGTCCGACGCACTTTTACACTCAAAAAGGGCATAACAGCAATTACACTCTTGTAGAAAAATAAGAATAGCAGTATTAGTCCTTAGCATGTATTGATTTCCCTGTTAACTAGAACCTGATTTTCCTGGTGTACCGCTCTTCTTTTAAATTGTTATTTTCTGTCCGGGTCCCATATGGGAGCAATAAAATTAATCCTTGTGTACAGTATACAATATTTGTTATTGATTCATGTTCCTGTGGCTTTATACATGTTTTTAATATGTTAGTAGTCACTGATGTTAAACAAGTGCCTTCAAAAAAGACAGGCATTGCAAAAGTTTGTTTTGTGTCCAACATAGCGTCCTATGCATAATTCACCTCTCTGTATGGTATGCATTTAGTTTCATGTATCACCAATGGCAACTCATCTCAAATATAACAGAAAAATCTTATTAAATGGAAATATTCCAAAGATGAAACATGTTGGAATCTACTACATATCTACTTCAAATAGGTTGAAACAAGATTGTTTTCAAATTAGTTGTAAAAATACTAGTGGGAGTGTTTCTTTTTTACACCTGTTATACAAAAATTTTTCTTATGGTTAGATTTTGCTTTACATTTTGAAGACAACTACTTGACCCACTTTCAAGTTGTACAAAAAAGTTCCTTGTAAAACCATCAGCATTACTGTCTAACTCAAAGTACAGTAAAGTTTACCTAGTAATTTAAGCTCAAAGCCAGTAATCAGGAGCATCCACAAGTAAATTAATGAATATTTTGTTTACTTATTTGTGAGAAGTATATACAATTACTTCATAATTTCTTGGCAGTAACGAATTAGTGCTTGTGAAATGCTTTGAACTAAATATACCAGTCTTATCTATAGTTTTAAAAATCTCTAGGCTCACATAGTTATTGCCATTTCCACAAATATAGATGAAATTGAGCTCTTAGGTAATTAGTGTTCATTCCTATTTTCACATTTTTTATAACTATGATTTTTTAACATTGCTGAATTATGCTTTGTGATTGTACCAAGACACATATATGGGTGCCTGATTAATAAGTACTGGTGGTCATAGATAACATATTTGTTTGTTTTCTAGGTATTCCAACTTTATTATATGGACTTGGCTCCTGGTTATTTGCTAGAGTCACAGAGACTGTGCATACCAGTTATGGACCAATAACAGTTTATTTTCTAAATAAAGAAGATGAAGGTGCCATGTATTGAAAGTGTGCACTGGAGAATATAAATGTCAATGAATTTTCTCTTGTGTGTATACAGTGCAATATTTATTTTTGAACCTTTAAAATAAAACTTTTGCAAATACTCTTTTCTTTCTATAGTGTCTGGTTCGTTAAGATGAATAATTGCCCTCAAGAGAGGAAGCTTTTCATACATTGTTACATATATTTCATACTCTATGTTTAGCCATTAGGAACTACAAATATATGAAGCCTAATGCAAATTTTCCTGAGAACTAAGTTAAACTACAGATATAAGTGATTATAATAAAGTATATACATTATATAGTTTCTATAGTTATTACTTTAAATGAACTCTTTGAAGAGAAAATACAGTTATCCACACAAAGAAGGAAGGGGGAAAAATAACATTGGGGAGAAAGTCATTTTTAGGCTTTTTAATGGAGAAAATATATCATGGGCAAATCCAAAATTGATGAGAATTGTAATTGCAATCTGAAATCTAAATTGTTTAGCTGCCAGGATTTTAAATGGTAATATTTTAAAACCCTTTTGCTATTTACCTGGATAAGAGGTTTGATGTAATGTGGAAACTTCTTATTGCCTTAAGAATCCAATATCATAGTGTGTTTTTTAAATGTAATAACTGGTTAATGTTAAAAAAAAAGGCAAGATGAATGAAATTAAGACTTATTAAAAGTTAAAATAGCATGCTGATAAAGCTGTAAGAACAATTAAGATCCAGAAAGACCGAGAAAAATGAATGTAGTAACTGTTTATAAAAGCAATTAGCTGAAATGGTCCTATCCATAGACTTATTGGAGAAGGGAAGTGGGCTGAAATTTTAAAGACCTGATGGCAGTTTTGCTTTAGAATTTTATTAAGTTAATTGCATTTTTGAAAGCAAAGTCATTAAAAAAATTTATCCTTGGGGGTAGTTACAAAATACCCAGACGAATGTTAAATTTCAGAAATTTAGAGTAATTTAGAAAGAACTAAGTAGAACTATTTAATTTCTAAACCAATGGGTGTTTAAGATTTATGATCTCTTCCATAATTACAAACATACATTATATATCATCTTATGTTAATGTATTGGTGATACTCTTGCAACGTTTACATATTTCTGTAGCAAAATATTTTATAAAATTCAATCTAGCCAACATTTGGTTGCTTACTTCTGGTAAGTCAATAGAGAAAGTCAGTGAAAGTGACTGAGGTGAAAGCACCAGAATAATGAAGTAAGACAAACTAGCTTCCTTAAAAGGTAGTCATTTCAAATGAGCTACAGAGAGTGAACTGTTCTTCAAATATATGTAGTATTCACTTGTCTAAGAGCAATTCTAAATAACACTTTAATCAAAGAAGTACTTATGCCAATATATTTAGTCCAGAAGAATATACTTGACACTAGTTAAATAAATGGCTTACACAAAGGAGATAGTGTTACATTAAGCTTCATTAATAATAAAACTGACTATTAGCATTTTGCAAGGAAGGCTAGAACTGATTTCCTCTGTAATAGGCAGAGTTAAATAACTATAGCTCATAAGTTTTAAGTCAAATACTGCTCATTCGTTCCTGCTGTTCTTGTCAATATCTGCTGTAAAGGTTTGGTCCCAACACAAGGCTGATAAAATGGGTTTTAATTACCAGACTATAAATACAGCTTTTCAGTAGAGTTGCACTTCTTTTCACACTGGTCTGTTTGATTTCTGATAATTTGTACTGCTGACTCTGCTTACCTGTTTTTCAATAGCTATAGTCAGGGTGACTTCTTGTCCATATGGTGATAGGTAAGTCTCCTTGGAGAACATCTTTGACAAACTACCCTATTGATCTTTGTAATTCTCTGCTGCTTGCAGCATTAAATAGAGCCTTGATTTCTTGTCTGATGTGCTCACTGTGTAACAATTAAGCAAATGTAATATTTTCTTGTATTACATGAAAATCAATAGACCTCTTGCTCTCACAGAGTTGATCATGATGAAGGATGAACTCAAAGATGGCTGAGGGCATAGTTCACATATTAAAATATCATTCATTGGATTTATTAAATTTTGTAGTGAATCTTTTAGTCTGAAAAGTGCTCTCCACTGACCAATAATAGCTTAAGACTTTTCTTTAAAGTTGGGTATTCCATTGTGGCATAAGAGGAATAAAGTATAAACGCTGGAACTCTAAAGACTAATAAAGTATAAAGCTTTTATACTTTATTCCTTAAAGAAACACACTGAAGGCATCTTGTGTGAATGTTTGTGCACATACCCACTATGCCAGCAAGCACAGCAAGCATGATTCCAAGTGGATCCTGCCCTTCCAGGTATTAGGAATTTTCTTAGGTGATGAAGCAACTTTTCTTCCTGTACTTCTGTTGAGACAAGTGGAACTTGGTCTTTAAATTAATTCAGGAAAAACCATTTTTAAATGAAAGTGTTTTTACTATAAATTTGGCATCTTTTCTTATTTTTATGCAAATCAATTGCCAAGTACTTGAAGAATTTTCTAGTCAGAATTCTGAGTTCCTGTGTAAATTGTGAACCACCATAATAAATATGCAGTAACTTGGGAGCATGAAAGAGGTTGCAAATACATAAATCCCTAGTTTCTCAGTGGTAATAATCTTAACATAGCAAATTGTACAAATTGTTACAGTTTCTTTCATCATACATATGTGGTCACTAGAATTTTGCTGTTTTGATATCAGTAAAAATGGATACTATTAAAAGCCGTATGCATTTCTTTTAAAATTTTATTTTGTGCTATAAATTTATAATCATTCAAAACTAAGGACAGAACAGCTATAATTCTTCATGATATATCTCTTAACTGTTAATGAATGATGTTTAAATGAGTGGAATGACATAAAGATAGGCTCTTGATTTCATTGCATTTAAAAGCTAATGCAGGTAACAGAAACCTTATCCTAAAGCTAGTGGATTGGGTATCTACTTTTTTCAACACTTACTATTCAGATAGTACTGATGTTTGGAGCATCTTAACCTAAACAAGTACTTAGCATTACATCTTACCTGGGTCAACAGTCTAGGGTATCAGAGTTAAGCTGTGTTACTGTAAATTAATGGAAAATGTAACTGCACTTTGTTGAAAGATCAATGTCCAATAAAGGCTGCACAATCAAATCTTGTTGCAATGATTGAGGTCTTTAATTGCCTTTCAAAGATAAGGTGGTAATCAACACAGCTTTAACTGATCTTTTTTACTAGTTCAATTACATGCTAATGACTAGTGCCAAGTCAGAATCTTTAACTACTTATACTTATTAAATCTTATGTTAGTAATGAAAAATTACTTTAGCTACACAATCAATAGAACACAAATCTTAATTACTATATTTCACTTTTATACCATTTTATGTGCTTGACAAATGTTTCACAAGAGCTTTCCCAACAATAAGAAGTGTTATTAGTAGTGACCACAATCTACAGGGTATTCCTCTAATATAAGGTGGAGATCAGATATTGAGAGATTTTTTTCTTAAATGAAAATGTGACTAAAAGAGTCTTCACTGACACAAGCATGGCCATCCAGCTATTTCTCAGATCTCTGTTCTGCTAATTGAGAATACTAAAACACCTGGGATAAAAATAGGTTATTTTGTGATTTTTTTTAAATTATTTTTTATTAACGTTACACTGGTTTATAACACTATATGATTTAGGAGAGTAGACTCACACCTCAAATGCATATCACACCACGCCCACCCCCAGAGCACCCACAGTCCTTTACCATAGTTCACTAGCCCTCCTCCCCTCTGTTCCCACTCCCACCCCCTCAAATGCATATCACACACCACACCCTCCCCCAGAGCACCCACAGTCCTTTACCATAGTTCACTGGCCCTCCTCCCCTCTGTTCCCACTCCCACCCCCCACCCTAGTGGTCTCAATTCTGCAGGCATCTATCTAGGGTTTGTTTCAGTTTTGTCAGTTTCTTTGTTTTGTCTCTCTATATTCCACACGAGTCAAGTCATCTGGTATTTGTCTTCCTCCTTCTGATTTATTTCACTGAGCATCATCACTTCCCGTTCCATCCATGTTGTTGCAAATGGCAAGAGTTGCCCTAATTTTTTTTATAGCTAAGTAGTAATCCATTGTTTATATATATCACATCTTCTTAATCCACTCCTCTGTCATTGGGCACTTAGGTTGCTAAGTTAACAGAACAGTTATGTGCGAAATAGCTGGATGACCAATGAATGTAAGACTGCATATATCCCATTGAATTAGTACTTTTACATTCCTTGGGTAGATACCAAGGAGTAGAACTGCTGGATCAATATGTCAGATCTATTTTTAGTATTTTAAAAACCTCCATACTGTTATCCACAGGCGTCAGACCACCGACATTCGCACCAATGGTGCATGAGGGCCCCCTTTTCCCATACCCTTGCCCACATTTGTTGTGCCTGGGTTTTAGTTTTTGTTTTTTTACGGGTCATTTTCATGGCAGTGAGGTGGCTTCACACTGTGGTTTTAACTTGCCTATCCCTGATAAGTGATGTTAAACATTTCTTCATGCGCCTGTTGGCCTCCCATATGTCTTTAGAGAAATGTCAATTTAGTTCTGCCCATTTTTTTCAATTGGGTTCTTTGCTTTCTTTTTGTTGAGTTATATAAGTTCGTAGTAGATCTTGGACATTAACCCCTTGTCAGATATGATGTGTAAATATTTTCTCTCACTTTGTAGTTTGTCTTTTCATTTTAATGGTAGTTTCTTTTGCTTTACAGTTTCTTAATTTGATGTAGCCCCATTTGTTTATTTTTTCTTTTGTTTTCCTTGCTGTTGGAATCATGCCCTCAAAGATATTACTACAACAAATGTCATGAAGCAGCTTGCCTATGTTTTCTTCTATGTGTTTTATGGTTTGCAGTATTAACATTCAAGTCTTCAAATCCATTTTGAGTTAATTTTTATGTATGGTGTGAGAGATTGGTCTAGCTTCATTTTTTTTTTTTTTTTTTTTTTTAAAGATTTATTTATTTATACAAGCACTGGGTACAGTCAGAAGCGCGGGAGGGTGAGGGAATTCACCAGAGCCAGAGCGGGGAGCAGAGCAGGCAGAAGGACCGAGGTACACTGCTGAGGGGAGCAGCGGGCGGCAGGAGAGGTCTGCGCGCCATGTGGGACCCTCCTCCGGTGGCCGGGGAGCAGCCGGGGATCGAACCGGCGCTGCAGAGGCTGCGGGCAGCTCCGCAACCCAGCGCTCAACCGCTGCCCCACCGGGGAGGCCCTCTAGCTTCATTTTTTCCGCATGTCTTTAGTAAGTGATTTCTAAAAGTTTAGTTAGCTTTTAAATATGTAAACTGTGATTTCATATAGCATCTACTACAAAATTCTATTTAAAGGTAAGATAAAAGTTAGTAAAGGCAAACAACAAAAATTAGATAAATTGCACTTCATCAGTGTTAAAAAAATTTTGTACTTCAAAGGACACTATCATTAAAATGGAAAAAACAACCCATACAACAGGAGAAAATATTTTCAAATTCTGTATCTGATAAGGAACTTAAAGCCAGAATATACAAAGAACTCTTGTAACTTAACAACCCATTAAGTAGATTTGAACAGACATTTCAAATAAGTCAGGTATACAAATGACTACTATGCACACAAGAAGATGATCAGCACTAACCATTAGTGAAATGAAAATTAAAACAATGAGATACCACTTCACATCCCCTAGGATAGCTATATTCAAAAAGACAGGTAATAACAAGACAGGCGATGTGGAGAAATTAGATCCCTCATACATTGCGAGTGGGGCTGTAAGATGGTATTGACTACTTTGGAAAGGTTTGGCAGCTCCTCTGACTGTTAAACATGGAGTTACCATATGATCTAGTGTTCTATTCCTAGGGATATATGTACCCTAGAGAATTGAAAACATGTTCACATGTTTTTGTATACAAATTCATGTTCACATGAATATTTATATACAAATATTCATAGTAATATTCATTCTAGACAAAAAATAGAAACAAATGCCCATGGATTGATGAAAGGACAAATAAAATATATTTTCACAATAAAATAGTACCCAGAAAAAAAAAGAAATGAAACAATGATACATTGTTTGGAAACATGCTAAGTTAAAGAAGCCAGTCATAAAAGACCACTTATTGTATGATTCTATTTATATCAAATGTCCAGAATAGGCAAATTAGAGACAGTGGTGGATTGATTGCCCAGAGTTGGGGAAGTTGGAACAAAATGGGGATGACTATTAATGGATATGAGGATTCTTTCTGGGGGTGATGAAACTGTCCTGAAATTAATTGTGATGGTTGTACAGCTCTGTGACTATAATCAAATCACTGAATTGTGCATTTTAAATAGAAAACTATATGCCATGTAAATTATCAATAAAGCTGTTTAAAAATTAGTACAGGAGAGGGAGAATGGATACTTAGTGTCCAATGCGTGCTGAGTTTCAGTTTTGCAAGATGGAAAGAGTTCTGGAGATGGGTGGTATTGATTATATAGTAATATTAATGTACTTAATGCCACTGAACTATATACTTAAAAATGGTATACATGGTAAGTTTGGTATTATGTACCTTCCACCACAAATACATTTTTTATAAGTAAAGAATTCCACATAACTGATAAAATATAAGTGCATGATTTTTATAGAATACAACTAAATTTAAAACATTTTAGAGATTAAAATAGGTAAAACACATTAACATTCTATATGTTGCAGTCTTAGAATGTTTTGAAATTTTAGTTACGAAACCTAATTTTAATTAGATGAAATCTCATTTGGGATTATTTTCAGTAGCATTTAAAAAAGGATATATTTGGTTTTAGATTATTTAAGGTAAAACCATAGAAAAACATGTAAAGTGTTAGTAAATGAAAATATCCTCTTTTAGATCCTAGTTGCTGGATAAAGGATATCAGCTACAACTAGTATGAGGTTTTATATAATATTGCTTATAGCTATTTTAGTTGCATTTATATCATTTTAAATACAGTTTATGAACATTGTACTACTCCATTATATTATTAATTTATCCTCAGTGATATTTATAGTATCAATTTAAAAGCTATAAAACTTCATGAAAAGTAGCTTAAACACAACGATTTTGATAAACAAAAGGTTTCAGTTTTTAAAAGCAAATCATGGAAGCTATACTTCTTAAAGAAGATTTGAAGTTTTTTTGTTGTTGATGATAGAATTATGAACCTTATAAACTCAGTATTTTTTAGTTAACCTAAATACATAAATCTATTTGAATTCATCTTATGAAAAGAGATATGTCATTAGATATATGATCATTATGTGCTTTAGTGATTCATGGACCTTGTTACATACATGCTTTGTAATGTATGAATTATTTAGTAAGAAAAATCACAATAATTTTGTTGTTACTCAAAAATTTATGGGTTGGCAGAAACAATTATGCAGCCCCTGAAGCTGGTATGTTAAGGTAACATCATTAACATTATGTAATATGATTTTTTTAGTAGTTATTTGACATAACCTTTACTGCTTCTGCTAGAATATATCAGTAATTTTTAACAATTGGTCTGCAAACAAAATACTGAATTTATTAACTGTAAAGTGATTCATTTTACTCTATTTTCATGCAAGTGCATAATTTAAAGTTGGACCTTAAAAGTTGTCTACTCGCCCCCTAAAGGAAGAATAAAAATATACAAAATAAAAATCAATACTCTAATAAATATAAATTTAAAACTCCACTAAATGAAGATGGACATTTTTATTCTCAAAATGTGTATGATGAGGTATTGAATGAAAATAATTCATGAGGTAAGACACTATCTTGTAAACTTTCTTTACACATGGTATTAAGAGATGACATGAAAGCCAAAATTTTATGAGACAAAAGCCAAAATTTTAATTTCTTATGCTTTTAAATTTCCAAATCTATAAAATGAAGGGAACAACAATTTGAAACTTTGAATAAAATTCTGAATTGTATCACTAGGCTACATTTAAAAATCACAGGCATTCATTCACCCAAAAGATACTTTTAATTAACTATGTTAAAGGCAAATTTCAGCAATTTTACCTGCCAACAAAATAAAGTACTTCTGCATCTATACACTGGGTCCATTTAAGCCATACTAAAAAAAATGGCTTCTGTACACAGCTGGACGAGAACTATGTGCTAGCCAATATTTGTGTTTCCAGTATTTGTCATATAAGATGGTTCTTTGTCAAGTGAATACGTGATTATTCAAAATTCAAAGGAAGATTTGCCTTTGCCTTAAAAACTTTAAGAAATGCATACATTCTGCAGATCATGAGGATTCTTTATCAGAAGAACAACACGTTTTGAAATATTATCTCAGAGGTAATTAACTTATACTGATCTATGTATTCTGAAGAATAAAACTGGGATCTTATTGCATTTTTCTTTTGAGGCATTGCATATTCTTTTGAGGTGTCATCTATTTCCTTAGACAGGAATTTTGCTATTTTAACGTCAAACAGAATGATTCACCAACGTAAATAAAGTGAAATATTAAACAGAAAGTACTAGAATCAAGACTGCGTATGTAGCTCAGTGGTAAGAGTAGTTGATTGCAGAAAGTACTAGAATCAGAGTTACTCTTTTTAAACAAAACTAGAAACAATGTGTTAGTAACCAGGAGACAAGAGGAAACTTTTAACTGAGTTGGCAAAAAAAATGGAATGTGATTACCACATGAGGCAGTTGAGTCTTGCTGATGACATTCAGAGGCTGTGTGTCAATTCCTTAGGTAGATGTGGAAAGAAGTCTTGAATTGGGCAGAGGATTATTAGTGATTTTGTCAGTGTCCGTGAATTCTGAAATTTTATTCTTCTTCTTGCATTTTTCTGTCTGATTCCCAATTGTTCTATTTATTTGGTATTTATTGCCATGCTACCGTGTGTAATACAAAGAGCCTTGTTTTAAAGACAAAAATGGTTTAAGTTCTTGAATTAGCATTGCTGGTTGAATAATTGAGAAAAATTAGAACTTTCTAAGTCTTCATGTAGACAGTAAAGAATACATATAATACACCATTTATTTGTGCCAAGGCCTAGACTAAGCACTTCACACATAACACACTTACCTAATCATCTCATAATACCCTATGAGTTAGGCCTATTTTTAAGCTGTGGAAACCAAGAGGTCTTGTCCAAGATCACATATAGTGAGTGTTATTCCAATCCCCTGTAAGCTGTCCATACAGTCCATACTGTTCTAAGATGCACAAGGTAATTCAGTCAGATAAAGGATGCTGAAATACTTTGCAAGCAGTAAAGTGAGATCTGTTTTGTTAATGTGAAGAAAGTAATATAGATATGTTTAAACCATGAGAAGAGGAAAAGTATAAAGTTTAAGTAATTTGTAGGTACACGAGACCACTCTTCCTAAAGGGAAATGTATTATGTAGAAATTAAATTGAATGGCATTTGAAATTAATGAATTCATTCATTCTAGAACATCTAACGTCCACAGTACCTGGCATAGTTTGTGCTTCACGAAAACCCGTTCAACTCTCATCTCTGCTTCTGCATGAGTGCCACTATTGTTCCCACGATTCTTTCCCATTCCCTCCAAAACAGAAGAGAGCAGACTTTGCTGTCACTTGCAGTGCTTGGTCCCTGATCATTTCAGTTCATACCTCTTCAAAGCCTTTTAAAAAAATGAATGGAAAGTAAGCAACATGAGAAAAATGCTTATGACATATTGCTGGTGTGGAAAAACACAACTTGCTTTTTCAAAAAAGTCCTTTTATTTTGGAATAAATTTAGATTAACAGAAAAGTTACAAAGATAGTAGAGATAGTACTTTCACCCAGATTCCCCACTCTTAGCATTTTACATAATTATACATATATCAAAATTTAAGAGTTTGTATATTACTAACTAAACCCAGACTTTATTCAAATTTCCCCTATTTTTCATTACTGTCCTTTTTCTGTTCCAGGATTCCCACATTACATTTAGTCATTCTGTCTCCTTAGTCTACTTGGGTGTGTGACAGTCCTTTTTTTTTTTTTTTACGACCTTAACACTTTTGAGGAGTACCTTGTAGAAACTCAGTTTGGGTTTGTCTTTTCTCATGTTTATAGTTTTGGGAAGAGGACCACAGAGGTTAAGTGCATTCTTGTTGCATCATATCAGAGTATATGATGGCATCATGACATCAAAGGTGATATTAGCCTTGGTTACTTGGTTAGGATGATATCTGCAAGTTTTAACTACTTGAAAGTTACTATTTTTATCCTCTATTCTCATCATATTCTTTTTTTTTAAAGATTTATTTATTTATTAATTTGTTTGTTTGTTTGTTTATTTGTTCAAGCACTGGGTACAGTCAGAAGCGCGGGAGGGTGAGAGAATTCACCAGAGCCAGAGCGGAGAGCAGAGCAGGCAGAAGGGCCGAAGTACACTGCTGAGGGGAGCAGCAGGCGGCAGGAGAGGTCTGCGCGCCATATGGGACCCTCCTCCGGTGGCCGGGAGCAGCTGGGGATGGAACCGGCACTGCAGAGGCTGCGGGCAGCTTCGCAACCCAGCGCTCAACCGCTGCGCCACTGGGGAGGCCCTCTCATCATATTCTTTTAATTTAAAATTGACATATTTGAGTGTTATATGCACAGGCTTATATTAGAGACTGAAAGAGGGGAATTCTTAACCAAAGGAGGCATTCAATACTTGTTATTAAACTTGTGTTTCAATAGGCATCTATGCTGGTTGTTGTCTCAGTCTTGGGGACAGAGGTAGAAAAGCAAAGTTGTGAGCAAGTGAGGCTCAAGACAGGCAGAAGACACAAAAGATATAAAGTATTTGTATTTCTACTACTTAATCCATTTTGCCTTCAAAATCTATTTATTCACTCAAACATTAAAGTGAATACTGTGTGCCTGATACTATTTAGGTGTAGGCACATGGCAGTGAATGAAACTCATGAAATTGTATTGTAGTAGGTAGACAGACAAATGAATTAAAACATGTGCTATGTTAGTGATAAGTGCCAGCAATTTTCAATAGAGTGCTAAGGGAAAGGTTTTATCAAGAAGGTGATATGCGGACCAATGGAATCGAATAAAAAATCCAGAAATAAACCCACAGATTTACGGTCAACTAACCTTTGACAAAGGAGCAAAGAATATGCAATGGAGCAAAGAAAGTTTGTTCAATAAAGGTGCTGGGAAAACTGGGTCGCTACATGCAAAAGAATGAAGCTTGACTACTACCTCATACCATGCACAAAACCCAGCTCAAAATGGATTAAAGAACTAGACATAAGACCTGAAACCATAAAACATATAGAAGGAAATATAGGCGAAACACTACATGACGTACACCTCAGTAACATCTTTAAAGACACATTACCCAAAGCAGTGATAGTAAAGGCAAAAATAAACAGCTGGGGCTACATCAAATTAAAGAGCTGCTGTATAGCCAAAGAGACAGTTACCAAAACAAAGAGACACCCCACCGGCTGGGAGAAAATTTTTGCACACAACACTAATGATAAAGGACATCACAAAAATCTCAAAGAGCTGATGAGACTCAACAAAAACAAAGTAATCCAGTCAAAAAATGGGCAGAAGAGCTAAAAAGAAACTTCTCCAGAGAGGAAATGCAAATGACCAACAGGCATATGAAAAAAAGTTCAACATCACTTGTAATCAGGGAAATGCAAATCAAAACTACAATGAGATACCATCTTACACAGTGAGAATGGCACATATTAAAAAAACTAGCAATAACAAATGTTGGCGAGGATGTGGAGAAAAAGGAACTCTCCTGCACAGCTGGTGGGAGTGCAAACTGGTCCAACCACTATGGAAAGCTGTGTGGAGACTCCTCAACCTGCTAAAGATGGAGCTTTCATATGATCTAGCAATTCCATTCCAAGGTATTTACCCAAAGGACACAGAAACATTAATTCAAAAGGGCACCTGCACCCCTATGTTTACAGCAGCACTATTTACAATAGCTAAGCTATGGAAACAACCCAAATGCCCAAAAATAAATGACTGGATCAAGAAGATGTGGTACATATATACCATATTACTCATCAATCAAAAAAGATAAACTCATGCAATTTGCAGCAACATGGATGGAGCTGGAAGGGTTCATGCTCAGCAAAATAAGCCAGAAAGAAAAAGAAAAATACCAGATGGTCTCACTCATAGCAGAAAAACCTGAAACCTAATTATAATAAAGTAAAAATCAAAAGCAACAAGGAACTATAAATCAGACACACTGAGGGGGGGGGTAGGATCAAAACAAGGGGGGTGGGAATTGTATGGGGACTATAACCAAGATGAAAATGCATACATTGTGTAAAAATGAAAAATGATGTAAAAAATGTATAAACTAAAAAAAATTTTTAAAAAGTGTGGAACCAAGCTTAGCCGAGGTTTCGCCATTTTGTATATCCTCCACCTTGATATGTTAGTCCTTGTCCAGCCGCATTCCGGAGATAGTTTCAGCAGTCACAACCCTCACTCCACTTAGTGACGAAAAAGCAGACCACCCCAGCCACCAATGAGGGCAGTCCTATCCATAAATGGGACAGCATCTCTAACCGTCCAATCAGTTTGAAACTGTAACCGTGCGTGCCAAAATGCCTTTGTAGTAGCCAGTGAGTAATTGCCAGCTTCTTGCAAAGTTCGCGCCACTCACGACCCTATAAGATACCCCTGCTTCCTCTGTTCGGGGCTCTCGACCTCTGCCGTTGCATCGGTGTGTGTCGAGGGCCCGGTCTCGAGCCCGTAATAAACTCCCTTTTGCATTTGCATCAGCTGTCTTTGGATTCTTGGAGGCTATGCTCGCTGAGTCTGCTGATCTTGGGCACAACAAAAAGGTGATATGTACATCAAGACATGCAGAATGTGAGGAAGAGAGCCATGTGGGTGTATCTAGGGTAAGAACAATCCATGCAGAGAAAATAGCAAATGCAAAGGTCCTGAAGTAGGACTCCTATGAGCAAGGAGGCTGTTGTGAAAAAGGAAGAGTAGTAGATAAGGCTTGAGAGTTAAGAAGGTTGGGGTGGGAGAGAGATAGAATGTATGTTGTTTTGCAGGTCAAAGAAAGGACTTTCGTTATTGACCAGCACAAAGAAGGAAGCCATCTGGAGTTTTAACTGAAGAAGTGACCCGATTTAATTATGGCAATTGAGTAAGAACAGACTGTTGGTAGCAGAAGCAAGATTAGGAGAAAAATAGGGTAGTTTTGACTGCTGTAGTAGTAAGTAAAGTGGCAAGAGGAGTCAGATTCTGGGGTATTGAATATTGAGAACAAGGTAAAAAGTAAAGTGTAATTTCCCTCATAAAGAAATCACTTTACAACAACAAAGAGATAAATAACCCAATTATAAAAAGGGCAAAGGACTTGCATAGACAATTTGTTAAAGAAGATATACAAATGACTGAAAAGCATATGTCACTAATCACTAGGGAAATGCAAACTAAAACCACAACATCCCTGTACACCCAATAGCCACCCAATAGGATGACTACTATCAAAATACAGAAAATATCAAGCATTGTTGAAGATGTGGAGAACCTGGAATGCTTGGTAACTTTTGGTGGGAACATAAAATGGGGTAACCACGGTGGAAAACAATATGGCATTTATTCAAAAAGTTAAAAATAAAATATCCATATGATCCAGCAATTCCACTTCTGGGAATATATCCAAAAGAATTGAAACACAATTGATTTTCCCCATAGTACAGCAAGTAAAAAAAGATGTTTTAACAAAGTATAGGTTCATAGGAAAATTCTAGCTTTGTGGCCTATTTTCTCAAATAATAGGAAATGAATTTTCAATAAAAAGTTTGGGTGGGGGGCCTCCCCGGTGGCGCAGCAGTTGAGCGCTGGGTTGCGAAGCTGCCTGCAGCCTCTGCAGCACCGGTTCAATCCCTGGCTGGTCCCCGGCCACCGGAGGAGGGTCCCGCATGGCGCGTGGACCTCTCCTGCCACCCGCTGCTCCCCTCAGCAGTGTACTTCGGTCCTTCTGCCTGCTCTGCTCCCCGCTCTGGCTCTGGTGAATTCTCTCACCCTCCCGCACTTCTGACTGTACCCAGTGGTTGTATAAATAAATAAATAAATAAATAATCTTTAAAAAAAGTTTAGGGGGGCCTTGGACATATGGTTAATTTTTCACAGGACTGAAGTGCAGGTGGAAAGGAACAATTTCTGGACTACCTGGAGGATCTAAGTGAATTTCTACCTAAGCTATTAACTTACAGTAACCGAAAAGAGATATATTACCTCCTACAATGGTCCCTCAAATTAAATAGAAACTCAGGGAGAGATAAAATATGTAAAAAAATTTTTTTTGGCATTATGCTGAAGCTAACCAACATTTATTTTCTTTTCTCGTATTAATCAACTACATGTAGCCTTTTGGAGGGGAAAGGGACACTCCTCCTCCACTGATTGTATAGGAAATCCAGCCCCCATAAATACAGTGATATTGTGCACCTTCGGTATATAGCGATAAAGGGGAAAGCTACACGTTGCAATTTGTAAATAAACTTCTGTATGGGCACATAGATCAACAAGATTATGCACTGAAAGGTCCATGCAGGAAGCCAGAATGCAGGAGCCAACCAGGAAGCCCACCTGGGGGGGCAGGAACGCGGATACATGCCTGGAGGACTGGACAATGAGCCTCCCCCCTCCCACTACGAGTCTCATCTCAGACAAAGAACCTCTACCTGCCCTACAAACTTTTCCCGCCATACGAGCCCAACTACCCACCCAACCTCTCCTCACCCTATAAAACCCTGCTTCCCCCTAACAACGTGCGCTACTCCACTGACCCCCTGCCTTGGGTCTGTGAGGTCCGCTCGGGGCGCAATAAACTTTCCCTCCCTTTGAGAAATGTAGCCTGGCTCTCCTTTTCTTTACCGCGCCGAACCTTTCATCTTGGTGCCGCAAACCCGGGAAGGCCGTGTCCCCTGGCGCCGGGGCCGCCTTCTCGTCCCTGGGACCTCTCCTCTCCATTGCAGACATCTCACACCCACCACCGGCCTTAATCCTTGGGGTAAGTCACTGCCTGACCCTCCTTCCTGGGAGGCCCTCACCTCTGGCTATTTGGCTCCTCTCCTGACCCCCTACCTTGGTTGGCTGTTCCGTAAACCGTGGGCCCACGTCAGCCAACTT